AAGGTTGGGATGTAGCACGAGATGCAACAAATCTTATTCCAAATCCTGAAACAAGAGGAAAAGTTCAAGGATGGATGGACAATGAGGAAGACAAGCAGGAAACTATTATAACAAAGCAAATGACTACTATAACCAAGCAGGACACTATATGGACCAAGGTGAAAGATTCTTTAACAGAGGATATAACCATGCACAACAGTGGGTAAACAATAACCAACCTCAACCGCCTCAAACGTGGGGAATGTAAAGTTTTTTATTGAGATGAAATAAACAATGCAGCATTGAGACAAATAAGTTCAAGATGGATTTGTCGGCTTCCAGCAGTTACACCACGTGTTTGTCAAGTTCTTTCTATACCTCAGGAAGTTTTAGACCGACTTAAAAAACCTCAACAACCAGTTGAAAACAAACCAAACTAAATTTTTTACTGAGATGAAATGACCGAAGAAGTTGAAACGGTAGATTTGACACCACAAACAAAAAGTTCAGAACCATTGTCAAAACCTGTCAAAGAACTTACAGATGAAGAGAAAAATTCAATAATAGAAAGTGCCAGTCTGGAAATACAAACCCTAACTATAAAGTCACTTTTCATAGAAATGGAACGGCAAGTATCTCAAAAAAGAAACAGACTCTCACAAATAAAATATTGAAGTCTGAAGGAGCTTTCGAGACAACAGATGGAAAAGTTTACTTCACTGACCAACAGTTCATTATAGAACATCTCATTGACTTAGATCGAAATATTCTAAACTTTACAACAAACACAAAAAGTTGAAAGGAAAACAAAAACAAATGGCATATGATATTTATGAAGATGTTGACGACACAACTGTTCCTGCAAGTGAAGTAAAGTCAGAGGAACCGAAAAGTGACGAAAAACCGATAGAAGAAGAAAAACCAAAAACTGAAGATAAACCAAAACCAAAGTTTAGTTTCCAAACTAAACCAAGTCAACCTTCATTAGCTGGTATGGGTTGGCGTCAAAGACTTATGGCAGCAGGCGGTTATGTAAAGTAAAGAAAAAAAATTATTTTTTTATTTTTATAAAAATGCCCCATATAGAATGGATAGAAAGTCTGCTAGAATAAAAGCAGAGTTACAAAGATATGGTTGGAGAGTTTCGAAGAATTTTAAATATAGGAAGGGAAGACCATAAAAGTCTATGACAAATTTTCTGGTCTTCGCTACGAAATGGATTTGGAAACAGCACGTGCCAATTATCCAAACAGACTAGAGAGGTTAGAAGAAGAACGTCTTATGGACATGCCTTTCGATGTTAGTGAACCTCAAGTTGAAGGACACGACGGCTTTGCCAGATTCTACTGGAAACATGACGAACAATTGCATCCTTTGAGAAGGAAAAAAGGAAAAGGTGAAGACGCACATGCTCCCATGGAAAGAACAAGATATGCATATGAAAAGTATCGTGAAGTTAGAAGTCAAATTACATCTGGTCGAACCTTTACAGTAAACTTTGACGAAGGAAAGAACAAAGAAGGCTTCATGGGTGTACTTGCTGCAATTCAAGACGGAAATAAGAAAGGACACAATCTCAGATTGACCATAACAGATTGGATGGTCACATACTATGCACATGGCAATGTCACAACAGCTGCAATGGTTCTTGACGCTTTCAAGACTACAAAGAGAGAACAAATGGTTGACTCCGACTCAGACATTTTGAATGCAATTGAAGGAATTGCAAGTGTCAAGTTCGAATGGTACCAACCTAACCCTCAAGCAGTCAGACAACATGCTGGATACTTCCCGTTCAGAAATAAGTCTGACATTGACTTGACAAGGTATGGAATTTACAATTCAATTGAAACAATTGTCAATGAACCTTGTATTCTTACATGTCTCAGGAACTCTGGTCTTGTTACAGATGAGAAAATGAAGTATCTTGAGTCATGTGTGAAGACAAGGTACATTCTCAGAGGTCAATTGGCAAAAATTGCACCGTTGGCAAATGTCAATATCCGAGTCAACATACCTACAGCTAAAGGTTCTTCACATGACGACTATGTTGTTGACAAAGACTTACCATGGTTGAAGATTGTAATTGTCCACAACCACTTCATGTTGAACGAAAGTCTTACAAACCCATTGTTCGGAAAAGGCAAGTGCAACATTGTCAGAGCTGTAAACATTCTTTTCGAGAAAGGTTTGTTGGAACCAATTCCAGATGACAAGCTGACAGAACTTTTGTACCAAAAGACGAAACAAACTTTTCATTGTTAGCAAGACCAAAAAGTTGTTCCAGACAAAGTTCTAGTACAAAAGAAGTACACAGTTCCACAAGGAGTTGGTTTGTTCGGATACCAACCTGAACCAGAAGAACTTCCAATGAGGTTGCAAGAACTTCAAGATGCTATAAACAAACTTCCATTGAGACATCCAATTGACGTCAAATTGTATTGGAGAGCATCTGAGTTAGGTCAGAAGGTTTTATATGAAACAGGTTGCTTCGACGATGTTTATGAGATAACAGGAGAAGTTTCTCAGAAGATAAGAGACTCACTTGAATTTCCACAAACTGGACCAATTGGTTGCGACAAGTTCGACTCAGATGAAAAAATATACTATGTCGACCTTAACGCTGCATACATGAGTTTGTCCAATATATTCCGACTGGAATTCCAAACGAAGATGGTGAGTTCCCGGGAAGGAACTATACAGTTGGAAAAGTCATACAACAACTGTATGATATTAGGAAAGCTTCAAACCCCAAACTTGCAATGACACTCAAATTGCTTATGAATTCGACATGGGGATATTCCATTAAGAAACCTCAAGAGATGAAGAGTAAACATTATGAGAAGGTCGACAACTTTGTTGAAAGGTTTTCTCCTTTTGTTTTGAAGTACGAATTCACTCAAGGTCAAAGGCTTAGTAACCACATTAAAACCTATTGTCGAACATTGGTCTTACCCTCAGTTCGCAAAAGCAGTCCTTGACAACTACAACAAATTCTTCTCCGAAGTCAAATCCAAAGTGAAGGTTTACTATGAGAACATTGACGCACTCATGACGAACGAAGAAGGATACAACAAACTCATTGAAATGGGAATGGTCGGTGAAAAGATGGGCTTTTTAAGCTAGATAAGGTATTTTCCGAAGTTCATGTCCTCTCCAAGCGTAAGTACTGGGGCAACTTGAAGACGGCACAGAAATAAAAACATTGCATGAAGTAAAAACGTTTTTCAAAAAAGTGACATTTTTTAAATTTTATTTGAACTGTACGCTGAGTTTGTTGGAGAAGACCGTTGGGAAACTTGTTTGTTAGATGAGAAATATGAAATGGCATACCATTTTAAAAACAATATATTTTTACATATATTAAATGCTTCAGGTTGAAAAACAAAGAATAAAAGTAGCAGATACAAAACCGTTAGACTATATCTTTACAAATGCTGGTAGGACTATTTCAGATGAAGAAATTTCATCCCGAGCATACAGTTTGACTATCCAATTCGTTGGCTTCAAAGTCCTTCAGATGCAAAGGCAATAGGATTTAGAAGAGTTTTGTTTTCAAATAGAACTAACGCATTTATGTTCGCAGTATATTTTCATGGGCAGTATAAAGGTTCTGATGGTCTAATAGACAAATTTGACGAAATGAGAATCTTTACAGTTCGTTCAGACGAAAGTCTTGAGAAAACTCTAAATGACTTTCAAACTCAAATGAACAAAATATTATTGGGAATTTCAAGAAAAATACGACTCTTTACTAAATGGAACATACTATCTGAAACTAGAATATGACAAGATGAAACTCCACCGTTTCATTTCAAAAGATTGAAATTAACCCTCCAAGAGATACAGAGTTTTTATTTTGGAAAGTAGACAAACGTTCTTGGGCACAATTTCTTCGGTTACTAAACCAGAACGAACCATTACCACCAGATGGTCCATTTAAATTTATACTTCCACCAGCAGATTTGACAGTTTATAGAAACGTGTTTGACCCTCAAAATGTTATGTGTCATGCAAGTTTCAGTTCAAGCAACAATAGTTTTCTATGTATTGGTAAGGACTTTTATGACTTTGCTTCTAAATTCTACGAACCACCTAGTAACAGTTTCTCTGACTTTCAAGTTTGGTTCACAACAAATGGTGTGCAACATATTATTCCATTGTACTATGACTTTTATCTCGAATTGTCTTTCATATATAACTACGGAAAAGTGCTGAAAAAGTATTGAATGTGAAGATATTAGAAAATAACATTTTTTCTAACATCGTAGAAAACTCATGAAAACAATTTATTTTTGACACTTTCACAAAAAACATAAAAAAAGTGAAGTTAAAATGAGATGTTTACTGAACTGGTTGGATGTCGCCTTCACAGGTTATGTAGAACGGCTGACCCGAGAAGTGGAACAGTGCTCTGAGAATTTGTATAATTCGTGGAATTGGACTCTCTCTGTTTGGAAGTTGTATCCATGGGCGCTTTGCAAAGAACTTGAGAAGAGCTTCTTTCTTCATCTCCTTTATGTCGTCTACAGGAGTGTTTTCTGGTATTTGAATTGGAATTCCGGTTTCAATTTCGATTTTCAGCGCACCTCTTCCAGACAACCAGAAGCCGAGTGACTTGTTGGCTTTGTCCTTGCCCAAGTACTGCTTAACAACTTCATTTATCTCTATAAGGTAAATTGCCTCATCTAATGGCTCGATGTTGTCCATTGTTCTGTTTCAGAACTAGTCTTATACTTTTTCAGAACAATACTTGTACTGTTTCAGAACTAGTCTTGTACTTTTTCAGAACAATACTTGTACTTTTTCAGAACAAATTTTCCGTAAAAGCTCTCAATTTGTGAGAAAAATTTTCTGTTTCAGAACAATACTTGTACTGTTTCAGAACAATACTTGTACTGTTTCAGAACAATACTTGTACTGTTTCAAGACAATACTTGTACTGTTTCAGAACAATACTTGTACTGTTTCAGAACAATACTTGTACTGTTTCAAGACAATATTTGTACTGTTTCAAGACAATGTCCGACGTCCCACCAACCGAGTCCATTCTCAAACCAGAGGAACCTAAAGAACCACAACAGTCTCCTCAGCAACCTCAGTTCCAACAAGGACCTCCGAATTACTACCAATTTCCACCTCAAGGTTACTACCCACCACAAGGCTTCCCGAACTACCCTCCTCAGCCTATGCCTTACTGCCCCAACCCTTGGTTGTTGAAAAAACCAGAATTTTCGAAAAAGTGACACCAACTATTAAAGTTATTTTATTACTAGATTTATTTACAAATTATAAGATAATATCATTAACAAAATATATTTTTAATATAAATAAAAAACTTTTTTTATACAAAAAATTACAATCAATCGATAAATATTATAAAACATTTATTCCAAAAAGATTAAGTAATAGGTGGGATCCTGCATATAATATAATTTTATGTCATAAAGCTTACAAATTTTAGATGGACCACAGTGAGAATGTGAGTGGTTAATTTAAAGGTGGTCTGATAAAGATATCGAAGCTTACTCAACACAGTATGAAGCAGTTTCTAATACACAATCTTACTAGTGGTGTTTCGGTCGCCAGCGCTCTCATAGGGGTGCTGATTTCAAAAACCACTACTTCAAATTATTCAACAATACTCAATGCAGCATGAAGCAGCTACTACTGCTGTATTTACTGGTAGCGTTTGGTCGTTGGCTCTTGCACAGTCTCTCAGATTTTCAAAAATTTTTTTTCAACACTATCTTGTTTCGCTCTCAGAAAGCTATCCTACAAAGACATCGAAGCTTACTCAACACAGTATGAAGCAGTTTCTAATACACAATCTTATTAGTGGTGTTTCGGTCGCCAGCGCTCTCATAGGGGTGCTGATTTCAAAAACCACTACTTCAAATTATTCAACAATACTCAATGCAGCATGAAGCAGCTACTACTGCTGTATCTTACTGGTAGCGTTTTGGTCGTTGGCTCTTGCACAGTCTCTCAGATTTTCAAAAATTTTTTCAACACTATCTTGTTTCGCTCTCAGAAAGCTATCCTACAAAGACATCGAAGCTTACTCAACACAGTATGAAGCAGTTTCTAATACACAATCTTATTAGTGGTGTTTCGGTCGCCAGCGCTCTCATAGGGGTGCTGATTTCAAAAACCACTACTTCAAATTATTCAACAATACTCAATGCAGCATGAAGCAGTTTCCAATTCAATAATACTCAACACAGCATGAAGCAGTTTCTAATAAATATATACATATATAAATATATACATATATAAATATATACATATATAAATATATACATATATAAATATATACATATATAAATATATACATATATAAATATATACATATATAAATATATACATATATAAATATATACATATATAAATATATACATATATAAATATTACATATATAAATATATACATATATAAATATATACATATATAAATATATACATATATAAATATATACATATATAAATATATACATATATAAATATATACATATATAAATATATACATATATAAATATATACATATATAAATATATACATATATAAATATATACATATATAAATATATACATATATAAATATATACATATATAAATATATACATATATAAATATATACATATATAAATATATACATATATAAATATATACATATATAAATATATACATATATAAATATATACATATATAAATATATACATATATAAATATATACATATATAAATATATACATATATAAATATATACATATATAAATATAGGGTGTCCAAAGGTGTGTTTAGCACAAACCTGAATACTGCGAATAGAAATAAACAAGTTACATATATATAAAGTTTATTTAAATATAATCACCATTGGATTCAATCACGCGTTCGCAGCGATCGATCCAGGCTTGAAAGACACGCTTTAAATCATCATGAGAAAATTGCTCAAATTGCTCTCTTACAAAATTTTCAAGATCATCTGGACTCGCGAATTCGCGTCCTTCAGCTCTCTTTTTTAGCGTGCCGAATAAATAAAAGTCAGAGGGTGCAATATCAGGTGAATAAATTGGGTTTGGAACAACTTTGACATTGTTTTCCACCAAGTAATTCATTACCTTATGACTTTTGTGAACTCTTGAATTATCAAAATGAATTGCAAACTTTTGTTTTGTTGTTTGGATTTCTCAAACTCATCAGAATTGATAATTTGAGTAAGAACATTGTCAATTAGATACTGAGCATTCATCGTATTAGGTTTTTGAAGAATATCAATTGCGATGATGCCATTCACGCCCCAAAAAACCGACAACATCATCATTGGTGTGTCAATTTTTTTCTTCGGGAATGTTTGCGGATTTTCATCCTTCGGGATCCACATGATTTTGGCTTCTGTTGCATATTGAAACCAAGACTCGTCCCTGTTACTAAAAAGCGAAACTTCTTGGATTGATACGCACCCAATATAGAGAGGAGCTCTTTCGAAGATTGGACTCTAGATTTTTTTGAACTGAATTAAGGTTGTGCGGAACCCAACGTGTATACTCTAGTTTGTAGTTCAAATAATTGTGCAGATAATAACTGACTGTTGTACGTGGTATCTTTGTCATCTCCTCTATCCTTCTGAGTGATGCTCTTGGGTCTTCATCTAGCGCTTGAAGAATTGCTTTGATTTTTCTTTGATCCGGCGATTTTTTGTCAATTTTTATGATGGGCGCCTTTTTGTTCATGAAGTGATACATCCTAACATGATACGTTACAGTGGAATAGCTAGGAGCATCCATACCGAAGCATTTTACCAATGTCTCGTAGATTTTTTTACAGTCTTTGCATTTTTTTGCAAGAGCGAGGATGTTTTCTTTATGATTCATTAAAAAAATGAAAAAAATCCCGCCATAATTTCCCGCGAAACCGCCTCTTGTCTCAAAATTCATTTTATATCCCTGCATGGCGCCAAAATACAACATACTCATCATATACATATATTCATATTTTTTATTATATATTTATAATCAGCATATATCTCCTTTAATAGTCTCATAGAGAGCGCTGTGCTAAACGCACCTTTGGACACCCTATATATACATATATAAATATATACATATATAAATATATACATATATAAATATATACATATATAAATATATACATATATAAATATATACATATATACATATATAAATATATAAATATATACATATATAAATATATACATATATAAATATATACATATATAAATATATACATATATAAATATATACATATATAAATATATACATATATAAATATATACATATATAAATATATACATATATAATATATACATATATAAATATATACATATATAAATATATACTATATAAATATATACATATATAAATATATACATATATAATATATACATATATAAATATATACATATATAAATATATACATATATAAATATATACATATATAAATATATACATATATAATATATACATATATAAATATATACATATATAAATATATACATATATAAATATATACATATATAAATATATACATATATAAATATATACATATATAAATATATACATATATAAATATATACATATATAAATATATACATATATAAATATATACATATATAAATATATACATATATAAATATATACATATATAAATATATACATATATAAATATATACATATATAAATATATACATATATAAATATATACATATATAAATATATACATATATAAATATATACATATAAATATATACATATATAAATATATACATATATAAATATATACATATATAAATATATACATATAAATATATACATATATAAATATATACATATATAAATATATACATATATAAATATATACATATATAAATATATACATATATAAATATATACATATATAAATATATACATATATAAATATATACATATATAAATATATACATATATAATATATACATATATAAATATATACATATATAAATATATACATATATAAATATATACATATATAAATATATACATATATAAATATATACATATATAAATATATACATATATAAATATATACATATATAAATATATACATATATAAATATATACATATATAAAATACAATATATATACATATATAAATATATACATATATAAATATATACATAAATATAAATATATAATATATATATCATATATAAATATAAATAAAATATACATATATAAATATATACATATATAAATAATACATATAAATATATACATATATAAATATATACATATATAATATATACATATATAAATATATACATATATAAATATATACATATATAAATATATACATATATAAATATATACATATATAAATATATACATATATAAATATATACATATATATATATACATATATAAATATATACATATATAAATATATACATATGGCATTCCAAACGGGAACCGCGGTTGGTTACCATGGATTTCCGTCACCGGTCACATTTTAAAGATTTTTAAAGCCTTATAAAAATATGCTTTGTAAATCATTTTTTGTAAATCGGCAAAAATTTGGTAATTTTCTTCAACTAATAAATCTGCGAATAGCATTTATAATACAAGAACAATCTTTTAAAATGCGTTTGATTCATTTTTGTATAATTTCATATAGGCACATATATTCTTCCGGGACTTTCCGTGATTTTACCGTAAATCATTAGTTTACACCAATTTTTCCGTATTTTTGAATAGTTTACTGCACTTTTTCCGTAAAATTGAGTTACGGGAATCCGCAAAATTTCCGGACCTCATTTTTCATAGAATATAATAATAATATTTGATAAAAAGATATATTATTTATATTTTTGAAAAGTGAATTGATAACTTGATTGAATTGATAAACTTGATTTTTTTATATGGTTAATTTTTCAAATGATATTATGAAGATCTAAAATATTAAAAGTAAAAAATTGAATTACGGAAAAAGTGAGGTCAAAAGTGAAATAAATTTGCAGAACAATTTTCATTGAAATAAGCTTTATTTTTCATTATTAATAACAATGCTGTAATAAACAGAAATTCATCAAATGACAGCTCTCAATTTTTTGATATTTGTAAATTCTAAATTGAATGAGAAAAATGAAATAATACTAAGCATAATACAATATTCTAGATTTATTTATAATTAGGAAAAAGTTAGTTTTGAGAGTACTTTTCATAGGCATATAGAATGAAATCTTCTGAAAAAT